ATGGATGTCCTTCCCTGGGGTGGGATGGGTGGGTTAACTGGGCCTGCCTTAATTGGCGCAAGCTGTTGCGGTGTCCCTGCTGGTTGGCGAAGCTAATAAACTAAACTAAACTAAACTAAACTAAACTAAGCTTCCATGGCTTTACCTCAAAGCAAGTTTATTTTCTCTTTTTTCAGGGACTTGTACGGGGCAGTCGGATTTCCTCTTCGTGTTACAAGGACTGTAGTTGTTGGGAAAGACTCTAAAATCGTTTCAAAAGTATTGAATATCCTAAGTTATTTCATAAGATGTACGGAGGTGTTTGAACATGTACAGAGAAGAGATGATGAAGACAATGATGATACAAAGGAAAATCTTTCTTGTTTTGGCCAGGAAAGTGTACAGACTGTGTGCTCCCAGTGTGGAAGCAAATCGGTTTCTGAAGTTGAAAACTCTGGGAAAAGCTTTACTGAGCCAAGTGTTTGTTTGCAATATAAAGAGAACAGCGAGGGGAGTTGCGCTTTACATGACAAATTAAAAGACAAAGAAAAGAAAGAGATTCTACGGGAGCAATTGCTTTCCCAGTTGCAAGGTACTAATGGATTTACACATTGTTTGCATTGCAATGCAAGAATTTCTGATGTAAACACTAGGGAAAAGCTCACAGGCATGGAAATACTTCAGTCTGTTTGCACATGTAACAAGATCTCAAATGGAGGCGTGCACAAGGAGCTGAAGCATTTTGTGAAAGACTCAAGCCTGTTAGCTCTGGCCAATAATCATTGTAACTCTTTTCAATGTTACTGCTGCAAGAACGCATCTGAAAAAGGAAGTATTGCTCCTAAAGGACGAAAGATTAAGTGTTACTGTGGGTTGGAAGTTGATTCTGACAAGAGTTGTGGAAAACAGGAGTGTGTTCGTTGTAGTGCTCAGTGTCTAGAAAAACTTCAGTCCTCGCAAAACGGCAAAAGCCATCATCTCACAGAAACAAACAATTGTCTAACAACCAAGATTTTACAGGCTGTTCAAAGGCGAGATTCAGTTGGCAACTGTAATGAAAATGTGGGCCGTCGGATTTCTGAGGCAGACAGTTGTGTATCTGAGGACAGAGACTCCTTGTCCCTGAGAAACAGCGTTTTAGAAAAATGTACTGATGTTGAAGAGACTATAGCGTCTTATGGAAGAAGTGGATCAGCTGATTCAGGAATTCATCAGAGCCCTTTAAACTCACCCTCCATTAAAAAACCTGAAAGTTTTCCAAGTGTTGTCCCGTGTCAACTGGAGGATGAGCAGATGCCTGAAGAAATTCCTTTACCTAGGTACAGAAATTTTTGAAAAATAATTATTCTTTGAATCATAATTTGTTACAGTCTTTGCCATTGACAATTCTTTTTTTTTCCTTCTTTCCCTTTCTCCAGAATACTACTGCGATTTTAAAGGGTTCTTGTCATTTACTAACAAGTACATGCACATTTTCCCCTTTAACTCTTTTAGGACAGAAGAAGTGAGCTCCTCCTCAAACAGGTGAGAAATTTTTCCATTATTTCAATTTAGTGACACACTTGGCTGCACCTCGTGTGTAATAAACTTGGCTTTAATAAAACAATATTATGGTGGGCCCCAATCACTTGGTCCCCAGCATGCCACGGGACACTAGAACAGAACAGGAAGTGTCTAATACTACATTGTGTGTCAACTTTTTTTTTTTTTTTTACCAGATTTTGATGTGATTTGTGTTCTTTGCTGAACAGTGTCATAGAATCTATTAGTTTAAAAGCTTTCAAGGACATTTAAATGCACAGGAACATGGAATCCATTTGTGAATTAAAGAATATTAAATGTACTTAAAAAATTATTTTAACTTTGCAGCAAATCAGATGACTGGAAAATCTTCAACAACTTTGGACGATCAATGTTTGCAGGGTTAGTTGAAAGACTTCTCCATGTTTCTTTTGCTGTCCTTAAAGAAACTTTGTGAACTGATGAATCTGTATATTTGATTTTCAAGATTTCATAGACCACAGCTTACAGTTATTTACCTCAATTTGATGTTTCTCTTTGAAACTCAGAATTGTGGACAGTTATCTGCCAGACTTGGTTCTTCAAGGTGTTCAGGAAAATGATTTCCGAGGAAGACTATCCGCTGATCTGAAGCTTGCATTGCAGGTGAGTTGTATAAGTATAGGTAACAACAATTAATTTTGGTGTTAATAAGCAGAAGTAAAATGAAAGACAAACGGATTTGCACTAGCCCTTGGGCATTGCTGTTTTTTGCCATAAAAATAATGTGGCAAGTGCATGAAATCCACTCTAGTTTTTGTCACTTGTGACTATTCCTAGGGAAGAAATAATGACTCACAGCTCTTTTATAATATTTGTGTCGCAGCATTCAGTTGTGGATGATCCTGTTTCAGAAGCAGTGTGTATCATCGCCAACACTGATAAATGGTAAGTATTCATGATTCATCGGTGCTTCCAACAGTTTGTGTAAAGGACACGTAGCCTAGATATATTTAAATGGCAAGGTACTAGATAAAATACATGTATAAGGTCAATTGTGGGTTTTTTTTGTCTGAGGAGATTGGAAACGAAAACACTGCAAACAACACAGTTTACATTTGTTTGCACAGTGATTCATTAAAGAGAAAGGCAGAACCTTCTAATCTTTCACAGTGAACAGTGTTGTCTTTTGACAGTTCAATGCGACCTGTAAAAGTACATGATTGGGGTCGTTTTTGTGTCATCGCGACTTTCAGAACGAGCTATTAGCTTTTAGAACTTTAGCGCGGGTAGTGTTGAAATTCACCGCCTGGCTTTTGTTGCAGGACTTGTGAAGTTGTTTCTATGAAAAAGAATCGGAAACAGTCAACCTGGTAAGAGCATACTTGTATTTTCAATTATTCCTTTTACTTCAAGGAGAATCGGTACCCGGACGGTATTCTCTTCACAGTTTTTGAACACTGAAAGTAAGACAGGGTGTGAGAACTAGAAGACAGAGAAACAAAAAATTTTCGGTGAATTATGTTCGGAAATTACTACTGAAAGGTTCGGGAATCATTTAGTTATCACTGTTTGTCAGAGAAAGTCCTGTCTTCCCTCTACAATACTTGATCCCTTGAAGAACCAGCTTTTCTAATTAATTTTTTGCTTTTTTTTTTTTTCTGGAATTTATTTGTAATTTAGTCTTCTCGTCGCTCAACGTTTTTGCTGTGATTTTTTCTCTCAGCGATCCCATTTATCATGAACAACAAGTGGAAGTATCCAACTTGGTGTTATCGATGTTGTCCTCAGTCAGTGGCCTATGGGACATCAAAATGTCAGCGGAGTTTGTAAGTACTGATCAGTTCTTACTACTTTTGTCGTTGAATTTATCTTTTTTTTAATGGATCACGTGCGAGATGCTCCAAGAAATGTGTGTGTGGTACAGCCAGACACACCTTCACCCTTAAATTTCAACCGTATTTTACTGCCCAGAAAAAAAATTAAACTCTATCCCAAGTCTATTCCGTTTCATGGGGCAGCGGTAGTTGTGTTCTGCCATGTTCACCATCAAATTCCTTCTTAGATTGCATTTGGGGAATTTGACAAAATAATTATTGGTTACTCGTGGCTTGATTGTAATCAGAGTATTGTTGTTCGCCTTTGCAGTGTCTAATGCACCTGGAAGATAAACTGAAAGAGATATATCTAAAGAGCAAGGTAGGATAGCATCTTGATATTCTTTGCTTAATAGGACGCCTTTGGGAGAAGTGTCGCAAAACCAAAGCTGGAATAGTCGCAGAGGCCAATCAGAAGAAAGGCAAATACTTTTGAGAGCCAATGAGAACTCAACGTAAACATACCAAACTTTCAAAGGCGCGGGAAAACGCAGGTGACCAAGTCCGTGATTGATTTTAGTTTTGCATCTGATCGGCTAAGAGTTTGGCGTGAGAGACGAAACAACGATCGCCAAGGGCACTGGTTTTGTCTTGAATATTGGTATTGAAAATAACCCTTTGTTTTGTATTTTTTGGATGAATTGAGGTTTTTTTTTTTAACTTGGCCAAATGATCAGTGTTGTTAATTAAACGCAATGCAGTAATGTAGAATTGGGGTGAACGAACTCGTTTTGGAGTTACGGCCAAATACAGCTAGTTGAAAATTACTCCAGTGCCTGTATAGATTTACACCCGAAGAGTACAGTTACCAATTATGGAATCCATTTTGTTTCTTTGTACAGGTTATAACAGAGAGATATCGGGAAAGACGGAAGTTATTTAGAAGTGATATCACAAATATGCTCAGGTAAATAAGATGTACGAGGTCCCAAACATTGCTTTGAAATTTTTCAACGATATACTGCCTCTCTTCCCTTGAAAAGGGTTTATCCTTCTTGTGATAATTCTTCTTGAGACATTTTACACAAACGTTCTCCCAAGGTAGAGTTTCCGTTTCGAGAGTTTGTGTCCGTCTATTGAAATAGAGGATGTAGGGGAGGGATAGGGGGTTAGAGAAAAGGCAGGACCAAAAATGGTACGTTTTAGTAGTATTTCGAGAAAACTGAGTACATTGCAATCGTGTCTTCTCTCATTTTATTGATGACAAAATGGCGCGTTTAGGCTCTGCTAACATTGCTGTGAAGGTTGGGGTAGGGCGAAGTGAATTGATTGTCTCTCTTTATAATCTCAAAGATTACAGAATGAGTGGATGAACGATACTTATTTGTGTGTGGTCTCCCGCAATT